TGTGTGTGTGTGTGTTGCATTTTTGCTGCCTTTTGAGAAGGACATGGTCCACAGTTCCTAATGGAGACCTCTGCCATCAGCTCCTGAGGCTTTTGAGGTCCTGAAAAACAGCATTGCTACAAACTGGACCGGACCAGAAGTGGACCTGACTCTCCAATCCAACTGAACTCAGTCTGACTATGAAGTCAGGTTTGGTCCCACACACTGCAGTCACCATAAATTTCTTTTTTTGGATTACTGTTTATTATATTTTTTATATTATACATGATATTTGCACGTATCAGCTGTCACTGAAGAACTGTACAATACATACTGACATATTATCTAGCTGTGCCAGTGTTGCCAAATGTTTAGTATAATATATTGCAGAGACCTAGACACACAGATAACTTTGTACTTTGTACAAATACTATCTAGAAACACCTCCAAAGCTCTGTTAGCTGTATCCAGTCTCTACTTCTCTGTTTAGTCTTAAAATGGTACAGTTTAATGTTATAATCTACAAGAATATAATGCAAGATGGGGCTCTGACAGCAGCTCATGTAGCCAGTTAAAAGGCTGGGGCTGTATGTCGTTGACCAATAAAGTGAGGGTTGTTTCCTCACACTCTTTCTTTTGAAAACGTTTCCACAGCTCTTACGTCGGAGTTTACCTCAAAGTATTGTTGCTGTCAGATCACTATCACTACACTGTAGTTGATGAACTTGATGTTTTCAGAAAAATTGAATGCTGGACAGTTTTGTGGGCGAAATATCTGACCCCTCTTTGAAAATAACAAGTATTCGCCTTGATATAGTAACTATTATGAATCCCAGTACCCTGACAGTGTTTTTTCTGTCTTTGGGTCTGAAGATATCAAGTTAAAAAATATACGTAGTTATTATTACAGATCTTGTTTATGTACCTAAATCAGATCTTTCTATATGTATCTTTTTTTATGTGATAAAAATTTAATTACTGGGACAGCAGCTAACGGTCTGTGCTCTGATCAAGACTTATACCACTAATGCCAATCCGGACTGAATGCTGAACGTTATTAACACAGCTGTTGTCGACTAATTTTCAGTTCAGGAAGTTGTTTAAAAAAATGGAAATGTTGTATTTTGAGTTATTGAGAAGCGTACTTAAGTACATTATGCTGAAAAAAAAGACTCCAACCTTGGTTACTTGCTCACAATGTGTCTACTGGGACAATGGGTTACTTCAGCTTAAGTGGCTCAGCATTAGAGGCCTCCATCATGGACAGAATGTTTTTTTTTTTTTTTTGGTCTTAATTTTATCTTTTTGTCTGCATGGTATTTCTGGATCAATTGTTGTCTGTTGATTTGCCCTTTAATGCCAAGTGAAGCAAAACAAAGCACTGGCCAGCTGATGAATCCATTAAGGCGCTGTCAGAGGCCTGAAAACAAATGTCAAACTGCTACTGCATGCCATGAAGAGCTAGTTTCTCTTATGTTTTTGGCCTGTATAACAAACACAGAATCATATAAGAAATCTCTATGAATTATTTTCTTATGGGTATTTTTAATACCTGTATAACACTTGAGCCTTTGTTCACAAAAGGGGTCAGATATACTGTTATGTGACAATTAACCAATAAGTCAATGGGTGCTACTGTAACCTACTGCTACCTTCAGGTCTGATTACTACAGGTTGAGAGAAAAGCAAAGATCGCTTAATGTTTGTCAGACTGACCCAGATCCAGATCTGTTGAGAGAACCTTTTTTCACAACTCATTTGTCTTATAAGCAAGGTTATGCTTTCTTTCATTTTCACTTTGTAAATAATATTTGTACTGGACATGTTATTTTTCTTTTTCTTTCACAAGCTTTTGTCATCTCTCAGCTCTTATTTCTCTAACTCTTGATATGACAGCTAATATACCATGGTAGGCCATCATGTTGACTTTTCAGATGACCTTTGTACTGGTCAGTTTGACTAATGTCATCTCTGATTTGATTAGATTAATTTTGTATAGCATATTTCAATACAGAAGGAACTTGTATGTAGTAACAATATTAATATAGTAATTCTAACATGGATAGAGAAAATAAAATGGTATTTGAGAAGCAACCCAATGTGTGTGTCTTGATTGATTTCATATTTCATTTTTGTTCTATATTAGAGAGGGATCGCCTTGTGCCATAACAAATAGTATAATAATGGAGTCCTTTCGAAGTGAGGGGGGGGTTGAGCTCACCTTCTCAGGACAAGAGTGCTTCTGTTTATGGAAGGAGATGTGATTTGACTGTACCACAACAAAGCAGACTGATATTTATTGTTAACAACATACTCGGCACTCCCTCTGTCAGGATGATTGTCATTACGAATCAGTTTTAACAAGCAATTTCACAGGGAATACCATGCGTTTGGGGTCTTTTGGAAAACTTGAAGATTGAATTGTGAGACTCTAAAAACAGGTGGGCACATTATCAAACAGCCCTGCATCAAATATTACCTTTGTGTATCAGGGGCATGTAATATCTGAGGGTGCATATTGTGGTATTACTGCATGTTGTTCATAATACTGCACCATCTTTCTTTAGATGATATACTAGAGATAACATGTTCTGTGCAGTGTGTTTCTTACTTTCCTCAGTTCAAATTGAAGAGATGATATTTGAAAAGAGACTCCACTGAAAGGAAAAAATGTCAACTTGATACTGCTACTTGGGGTCAAGAGGTCAACGCTGCTGCCTAGAGTCAGGGACAGTAACAGAATATGGATGAGTTATGAGAAGTGATGTGGGGGAATTCCTGCAGTGTGACTGCAATGAAAAAGAGACATGTAAAGGTTATGGGAGTTACGCTCTATTTCTGTCACACATCGAACTTTTACTGTATTTGGGATATTCTCAGTGTTTGATATTTCATAAATCATAATTTGGAACAATAATATGGTTTGCCCACCTGTCTGCCTCCAACATTGGAGGGTAGTAATAGGGTATTTTCTCTCTCCTACCAGCAGGCGGCAGTGTGGCTTATGTTTAGGCCCCTCCCCTCAGTTTATGCGCTCCTTGTGACACATTCAATGACTCCTCTGAAACTTTCCCCTGCACAGATCTTGAGACAGAGGCCTGTCCCTGTTTCAAATACTTTAGGTTGGGAATCGAAACGTGCAGGCCACATAATAAAACTTCACTGTTTGCTTTATCTTTAAGTTAACAAAAAAAACAGCTAGTTTGTGCTTCAGCTGCAGAGTTACAAGTATGCTTGTGTGCAGGGGCGTTGTTTCTGTCAGTGCTTTCATAATTCACTGTTAGTTTTTAACTGTAAAGCTTTTTCCCATTAAAGGATCCTGTAAACAGGGTATCAATAGCTCACTGCAGCAGAGGTAAGTCACTGTCAGTCTGTAGATCAAAGATCGATATGATTAAAGCTGATTTGGGAAGGGCCTGACGACCCTGAGTCATGTTCTCTATAGTTGAGTGTTTAAGCAACCTGGGTGGAGTTACATTCCTTATAAAACCTATGAATAAACTTATTACAGTATTGTTACACTCAGCATCCTTAGTTTACATCTGGCTATTTTAAGTCCAATAAATACATTATATATTAGATCATTTGATTGCATAAATGAAATAATTGAACATAATAAATATAGATGTTAATTCATACTAACATTTTATTTTGGAGAATGCTTTAAAACAGTATTTAGTTTTTGAAATCTATAAAAGATGTAACTGAACAGTCACAACAATTATTAATACATTATGAAAAATCCAATGCAATGTAACCTTTAAAAAGAAAATGGAAACGGAAAAAATGTGTCTTCTGCTCAGTGTCCTGCTAAATAATCCCCATTTTACTAAATGTAAAAATAATCTGATTATGTCTGTTTTTCTGTAACTGTACTTGATTACTGTTTTTTGTATCCTGGTTACGTATTATGTAATCCATTACTCCCCAAGCCTGATAATAATATAACTACCACTACAACTACATCATTATGAGTATTGGGCTAGTTACTCAAAAAAATATTCATTACTCTTTACAAAAAACAATATTCTTACTTACCTGCCAACAGTAATTAGTTACACTACTAGTTATATTATTTAGTTACTCCCTACAAAATTAACAAAACAAAACAAAAACAATCCAGTTTTATCGTTGAAATCAAAGTAATGGAATATTTAGTTTCCTTTACGATTACAAAAATGAATCCAAGGATGTGAGTTGTATTTCAAATCAGAAGAGGGTGACAACAAAATTCATAGTGTAACTATTTATATTTTGGAGTAGTAATTGTAGTATTATTATCACAGAGTGTAATAGTAATCAGTCACACAACTAGTTACTGGGTAAATAAATATTCTTACTGTAATATTATTACTAGTAATGAGTTACAGCCCAAAAGTGACCATAGCTATTTCTACATATGCGCTTTAAGTCCCATGTGTATTCTTTTTCCCGACAGCATGTGAACGCATCACCACTTCCTCTCTTCCAAGCCGCGCCTGGATTCCTCTCGATGGGACACCGATGGGAGGGGGGGGGCTGACCGACGGACGGACGGACGACACCCCACCATGTGAAGAAAAAGTATATATATATTTAAAAAAAAAAAGGGAGACACGGAGAGCAAGCTCGCCAGGGTGAGGACGTATTAAGTCATTCGTCTCACCACCAAGGGGTCGGCGTTTCTTTAGCAGCTCGGCAGAGAGCGAATGGACAGAGCGGGAGAGGACAGTCTCACCAAAGGTACGAGCTCACGGTCCGTCCGTCCGTTTATCACCGTGTCTGTCACCGCTGGTAGGGGTGAGACAGGGAGGGAGAGAGGGAGATGTTAAATGTGCGCTAGTAAAAGACCGTAAACTCACTTAACTGGTGCTTTTTGTGTGTCCCGGCTACCGTTTATGAAAGTTGCAGTGTGATGCTAACGTGTCTTT